ACATTCTGATCATAGGATAATTAATAGCTTCTTTTAGCAGAATAAGTTGTGTTCTTATTAGAAAAAGTTCTTACCAAGTCGGGACGGATTTCATTAGCAACAACCTTATTAGAGAGATCGATTTCGCTACCATACATGCATATCCTGATATCTGGTGAGTTAATAATTTATTCTTTTATAATGTAATTTGGGAAGAATATTGAATCTAACTAGGACTAATATCTGTGACAAGGTTATTTGGGAAAAGTGACAATGAACAAATGGCTTTTATGGAAAGATGGATGTCGAGCCACTGGGATGATGCAAGAGGAATTTTGAAGAAGCCACTTGTCATAGCCGAATTCGGAAAATCTAGCAGAGATCCAGGATACAATTTGAATGCTAGAGATTTATACATGGGCGATGTATACAGAGATATATACAGATCTGCAAGAACAGGAGGAACAATGAGTGGAAGTTTAGTTTGGCAACTTATGGCAGAAGGCATGGATTCCTATCATGATGGATATGAAATTATCTNNTATCATGATGGATATGAAATTATCTTATCACAAAATCCCTCAACTGCTGGAATTATGTCAAGGCAATCTCATGCCATGACAGATTTATCTCATTTGTTCATTGGACTTCATCATGCTCAGACTGCAAGACAGTCTGCTCCATGAGACAAATTTGAATAATGCTATTTGTATTAGGCGATTGTAGTAATCACTCTACGTCGCATCCTATATGACACCTTGCTATTTGAGGCATTAATTTTCTGTAATTTTGATGTCTCAAATTACAAGCTAATGCCTCAATAACAAACTTACACATATGACAACTACGGAAATCGCTGACTATGAGTAATATTACTCAAATTTATACCACCATATGGTCTTCATTTATTTCAATGGAATAAAATTAACCACTGTTGTAACTTGAGTACTTTTATAATTAAAGAAAATGAAATTTATTTGTTTTAATTAGTGTTCTATCTCATGCATATAATTGCTCAAACCAAAATTTATTTAGAATTCTAAGCAACATATTTGCATAAATAATATGAAGTCTAATTAAGTTGAAGAAACAAACGTGTATAAAATACCCGTTAAATTAATTTGATTGCCATGTAATATGGTTTTTTTATGATAAAATTAAAGAAAAATGATGATTATTTCTTTGTTGCTATTAATATACCACTTGATTTACCAATGTATGTTGGGTATTCCCTCCTAGTGAGGGAGCCCATTTAAGAAGTATTGGGCTTTCTCTTCCTCAGGCCCAATATAAAGTTATAATAGCAAGGGAGTAACCATTACACATATACAACATATACACGAGACATAGAGCAAAACCGAGAGAGAGAGAGAGAGAGAGAGCTAAGACTTGGTTCTTCTCGCCAAAGATCGGAGGTCCATTTGTGGTCCGATTACAGTGAAATTTTAGTATGTTGTTCCT